TAGTATTTGGTCCCTATGCAGCGAACACGTAGCCAGTGCGATTCTGAGAAGCAAGAACTAAGGTTTAACACATTTGTTAGCTTATTTTTTCCAATCCATTAGGATTTTTTATGTGACGCTTTATATAGACAAGTCGTTTTTTCTCTTGATCAGGAAATTCGAACGAGGAAAATATGAAGGATTCTGATGATGATGACAATGGGGACAGTGTTTATTCTCTAAAGAGCAAAAAAGACACTGATTGTCAATACAATCCCAATAAGCAAGAACAAAGGTTTTAACACATTGTTAGCTTATTTTCATTACTAGAGTTGTTTCATGTGTTTTGCTTTATATGAACATATTCTCAAAACAGTGAAGAAGACACAGACACTGATTATGAATTCAAGATGGCTAATACAATCTCGAAAAGCAAGAACAAAGGTTTTAACCCATTGTTCATCACTTGAGAGTTGTTTTATGTGATTATTTTACATATACACAACTGTTTTTTTCAGGGAAGATGAAAAGGAATTTTCTGAGAGTTCTGATGAAGACAGTGACAGTGACTATATCGAAGGGTTTAGCCACATGGATTTTGAAGACAACTCCAACAGTGAGGGTTCTTACTCTCCGGATAGCGGAGAGACATTGTCATGTACATTGACAACCACTAATGTCAAACCAAAGGTGACAAAACCGAAGAAGAAAGGTAAAAAAATATATTAGCTTCTCTACTTTGATCATTTGTGTAATGCTTATGTTTATGTAAAAAACGTTTTTATTATTGAGGTTTTTCAGGAAAGTCTAAAGTAAAAAAAAGATGTGGACGCAATTAGTGCGAGTTCGTCTACGGTGCATATTGGGAAAAGGATGAAGAAAGGTAAAGAAAATGCATATTGGTAAAAGGATGAAGAAAGGTAAAGAAAATTGTTGGTTTCATTTCATCACTTAACTAAGCCATTCATTTGTGTGATGCTTACATAGAAAAATGTTTTTTCCTTTGCGATTTTCACAGTAAAGCCCAAGATCAAGAATCCAGAGAGATATCTGGATAATCCAAAGAATGTATTTTTTGAGACAAGTATAAAGAATAGGTTATTCGAGCTGGTAAGAATTTTAGTAGATTTTTCGTAACGTAGTGCTTGTAACTTAACATTGTTTTAGTTAACATTTTTGTTTGCTTTTGTGTACCTTTATAACAGTTGGTTCATGCACAACTGGTTAAAGACTATGGCTTGAGGTTTCAAGATAAAGTTTGCTACATCGATCCAAAGGGGGAACTAGAAGCGAAAACAGCGAAATGGAAGAGTACTCAAGTGTGTATATAAAAAAAATGGAAACGTATATGCAAGAGGAACAAGTTGAAGAAGAAAAATCGCATTTTGTGTGAACCCTTGCGCAGGGAAAAGTTGGTTTACGCAATCAAAATCCATATCGTCCGGGAAAAAGATTTGTAAACATTAGTAGTAAGAGTAGAAGAAAGGGATTTTGTTACTCATCTTTATGATTTCAGGATGTTTTGTAATCAATTGACATCACTCTCTATGCTTATTTAATGAGTTTTATCACTCTTAATCTTATTATCACGTACATGAGGTTAGTTAACTGCTTCTCTTGTTCTCATGTGAATCTATCTTGATTTGTCAAGCTCTCAGATCAACTTTCATTTGGTTCTGTGTTTTCATTTTAGTATAAATTATTTATTCGAGCTCGGTATACTTCTTTTTCAAACTCCATAGGTGACTGACTTCACTGATAGGTGATTTAACAGCCCATGTTAGCGACTTTTGTCTAGGAGCTCCATAGCATTTCAGTATAGATTGTATATACTTTAGCTCGTTGTGATCTTATTCTTAAGCCAAGCAATGTCCTCCTAGACCATGATCTAACAGCCCATGTTAGCGACTTTGGTCTGGCTCGGGTTCTCCTCAAACTTGACAAAGAGTGCTTCCTCAACCAACTAAGCTCGGCCGGTGTCATAAAAAGTGTTATTAAAGCTGATTTACTACATATATTTGATTAGTATACTAGTCAAACCGAACCTCTAGCTCGGAATTTTACTCCTATGGTCTGAAAACGGAAGCATGAGCAGAGAAGGAGCGTACATAATACAGTTGGTAAATCAAATGTCAAAATTTTGGACTGCTTCAACATCACTTTGTCAAAAGAAGAATCTTAAAATGGTTTTCGGAATTAACGCAGGTCTTTCAACGGAGCAAATACAGAAACACTTTGATCCTCATGAACTTGAGAACTTAGGAGTTAGGACCAATACGATACTGTTCTGAGATATATAGAAACTGACAAAAGATCCAACAATTCTGACTGTAGGATTCATATGTGTCCGAGGATTCGAACAGAAGACCAGAGCACCTCGTCCGCTGATGGCAATGTTACATTTTATGACGAGTAAATTGAAGAACAACAAAACCTAAAGACCAACTGAACAAAGAAACCGCATTGCTTCTCTGCTCTCCTCTATAATAAAGGGCAACAAACAGGCGCACAAAACAGACAACTGGTTCAATTTTTATTTATGACAAATGATTCGAGAGAGATTGATTTGGTTCTTCCTCAGCTTCTCGTTCTCCTCACGCAACTCATTAAGATTCCTCTGAAGAAGCTATATCCTTGTTTCTGCCTTCATCAAATCAAGCTTCAACGATTTGGTGGGTGATGAGCTTGCTTCAGGCACCATTGTAGCAACTTGTTCTTGTTCTTTCTTCTTCACCAGCAGATTCATTTTCTTTTCGGAACAACCAGGGAGGGCTAACTCGAGTAGCGCGGTGACAGTGTCTTTGTCGGTTAAAGCAGAAGAAGATACTGTGATGTTGGTAGTTTCTACGGTTGTTGTTGTGGAAGAATCATGGTCTTGAGTGGTGTGACTTGATTTATTGGAGTAATTTCCACTAGAGTTGCGTCTGCGTTTGTATTGTTTGGGAGGCAATGGAGCTTCTTTGTCGAGGAGACAAAGAGGAAGAGCTTCTGCTACATATTTACTCTTGTGTGACTCAATATCATCGTCCTCATTGTGATTGTCATGATATTGTTTCTGGTGTGTATAATCTGTTATGGGATCGTCATCGATCTCAAACTCTCTTGGGAGCTCGTTAAGGTCAATAAAACTCTCTTGTGGCACTTCCTTTGCCACTGGTTATTTTCCTACACAAAGCAGTTTACATGAGAATCCAATTAAACTGATCTTCTAGAAGGGTTCAACACAAAGTTTGCATAGCTTTTAAAGAATGAAAGGGAGAAAACCGAGTACCACGAAGGGCAAACCTGTTGAATCTCGTTGTTGCCATTGTCATCTACATCAATTGGAACATGATCTTCCATAACCTTCACATTTCCTATATGGATCAGAGATTTTTCATCCCATTCTTCTTCCACGAACGCGGCGTATCTGTTTCCGGTAGGTGGTCCAATGTCATTTTGAACAATTTGCACAACACATACTCACCTTGCTCCTCCTATAAACATAATTAAGAGAAGAACGTACATAATCAAGAAAATCAGTGCGAGATTATTAGCATCATCATCTAAGCAATACAAGAATCCTGAAACTATTTACGATCAAGTAGTTGAGCAGATTATGTATCAAGAAGACCAAATAGACTATTTGGCACATCACAAGAGTCTTATAGACAGGGAAATACATACCTGAGGGGCTTCATTCATTTCTGGTTCATTTTCGACAAGGCCATACTCATGGATCACCCAATCAGTTCGTCGACCCTCTGGAGCACGGCCTTTGTGAAACACAAGAGTCTTTATCATACCGATCAACTGATCTCCTCCATGGACTTCCCTGTCTTTTCCAGTTGCTTTCCAGTATCCTTCCTTTGATTTTCGACTCATTCTAGTACCCGTGTCGTGCTTCTTATCCATGGCACTGATGAAGTACCATTCTTTGTCTCTTGTCTTCAACTTCGAAAACTCTGAATCAAAACAAAAAATCAGTGTACTTGTTATAATTAATTCGTCCATGTCCATCAATGTGCCTTCGTCTCTTCTTAATTTCTTATGGAGTATTATACATTGGTTTAATATGTTAGGTTGTAAATAATCGAAAGCATACCATACACACATGTGAAACATTCTACTTTAAGAAAAAACTCGACTCTGTTTTTCACTTGTATAGTATGATCAAGTTTTGTGTCGAAGTTAAGAAAGTGGAGAAAAAAGAGCATCGTTTATGGAAGAAGAATGTCACGAAATCTCTTGGCAATGTCTATAAGCTCCAAAACATAATCAAGAGAACCAGATACAGTTTGGTCTTGAGTGTGGTGTTCCTGCATTCAACACAACAATTGTTGTTCCCAAGCCAAGCTTTTGATTTGCTACATCATTCCACCATGTCTACTTTGTTAACGTCTATTACATAGAGATTATTCTAATTATATAAATAAGAGACTAGCTAAGACTTGATAAAGAGATTCAGCGGATGACTTGATATTGTGCTGACGGACTGTCCGTGACACTGAAACGACAGCCCGTGTTGCAAAGTGCACACGTGCAGCGGATGAGTAGGTGGTCGTGTGCGAGCCAGTTTGTCTCCACATTGGGACGTTGTGGTGTCGTGTCTGGGTTTGAGTGAAATAAAAAAGTGCCATTACGAAACACACGTACATTAATCCAGCAATCACAGGAACATTGGAAAGCGAGGACGGCGAAATCGCAGGTCCATTCACAGCAATGAATGGTCACGGGAGGACGGACGTATGGTAAAGCAGGATAAGGCTCAATGGTCTCTGCAAGAAGTGGACAAGATACCATGGCTGCAAGAGATAGAGAGATAACCAACAAAAGAAAACAAAAAACAAAATCAGTAACAGTATTGAAGAATGGACGAAAATAATATGAACAAGTTAACATACGAGTATCACAAACAACTCGAAACTGTATAAAAATTCAACTTTTGAGTGGAAACACAGAAATACATTATCAAATATAGATTAAAGAGAGTGCCATAAACGTATGAACAATACTAGGGGATCAAGAAACTACTCAGAATAGCTATTTTGTGTCTTAATTATCAACATTAGTGTATGATACTAAAAACAGAGAAAACACATGTTTGCAGGGACATATAGATCCCAGAAATTGCAGATGAACCGAGAGATATATCCATCAACATATGAACACTGAACTTGAAAGAAGTGTGTAAAGTTATTATCAAAATCTATTACCAAGATTGACGAATCTAAGCAAAACCTAAGATTACCATTCTACACCTTCACAGACAAAGACCGCAACAAATAAATAAAGACAGATCGAACCTAAAGAATTGCAAACAACTTATGATAATGTCTTTGAAATCAACATTAGGTTACAATACTAACAACAACACAGGAAACACATGAAAATTGCAATGTCAAATAGACTCTAAAGAACTGCAGATGATCAAGAGATATCAATCAACATATGAACACTGACCTTGAAAGATGAGTGAAAAGTTAGTATCAAAATCTAAGCCATATGGATACATCAACTAAAGCACCATCAGGTACCAAATCAACTCATTTCACTGCTTTTACACGACTTTACCAAGATTGACGAACCTAAGCAAAACCTAAGATTACCATTCTACACTTTCACAGACAAAGACCGAACAAACGAATGAAAACAGATCGAACCTAAAGCATTCCTTAGATTCGAATATGTTCGTCGACAATGAATCAATTACTAGGTTAAGCAGAACGTACCTGCGAGGAAAATGAAGCGGCGGCGAAAAACGATGAAGCAAAGAAAGAGGAGAGAAAATAATGCCTTTGTATATAAATTAAGGTTCCCTTTAGGGGGAAAAAAAGGTCAATACCTCAAGTTCTGTTAATTGGCCAAAAAACCCTTCAAGGATCAAATAAACACCGAATTTAAACCCGAGAACGTCAACGTTACTGTTGCCGTAAGACACCGTTAATGTGTCTTCTTCTTCTACCACTAAGAACAGAAACCTAAACCGAATGCGAAGGATAATCAAACGGCAGAGGAGAATCGAATGTTGACTTTCCGACGTCTCTGCAAGATTTTCCGACGGTTTGCATACCTCGAAATCTGAAGCCAATCTCATGATTTTGATTTTGATCTTGATCTATGCAGAAGTAACTTGGGATTTCTTTTAGCTTTTTAACAAAAAAAAGCTAGCTCCGTAGTTGCACACAAATTTATTAATTTCGATTTTGGAAGAAGTGATTAAAGGCTTTGTATTCGATTTTGGGGATTTCTCAAGGGAAGAAGATAACACAGTAACGGTAACTCACGGCAGCAGTGACGTTGACTTTCTCAAATTTAAAATGGCCCAGTCAACCTAAACTTTGTGGTTTATTTGAGGAATGTAACCTCAAAGATTCCAAATCATCATAAAAATTTTTTAACACCTTTCTTTAACTTAACCATCTCTCAACTCTTTTTCTCTCAACTCCATTCCTCTATTTTATTATTATTATATATATACACCCAATTAAATAACCCAACAAACAAATTAATTAATTCATCAACTAAAACCAATTTCAACCAATCAAAACAATCCACTTAA